GGGGGGGGCAGCACAAGTGTTGCTTTCTTCTCTAGGGGAAGAGCAAGTGCACTACTGCTTGATTACCAAGGCAAAAGGTGGGGTATAAAATTATTGTTTTGTTGTTGTTTACTTGTCCTCTTCCCAGACCTGGAGGGGTGAACAGTGCCACTGCCAAGTCCTCATCTTAGCCTGTGAAATGGTAGATACAGCACTCTTGCTTTCCACTTCAGGGCCATGTCACCTATACACACAGTACATTTCAAAATGTGCAATAGATTAAACAAGTTAACTTGATCACAGTGAGCTAGATGGACCAGTAATGAAGGGCAAGAGTAAGGCACCTATCCTTCCCATGAACTGGGATCATCATTCATGTGTACATCACTAGACATGGACTCATTCAAATTACAGTAGCCAAGGAGAGAAGTTCAGCTCCTTGCAAGTTGTTTTTCAATAAATCACCAAGCAAGAACAGTGAGTTATTTAGAAAGAGGTTATTTCCTAAATAGAAGTTACAGAAGGGAATTTCCAAGTAAAAGCCCTGTTGCTTTCAGCTGCTACCGCTTCTTTACAAAGCTTAAGAGATTGTTCTCACACTGCAATTTCTTGTCAAAATGAGCTGTTCAGTGCCCCCAAGCAGGCACCCACATGTAAGAATGCATTACAAAGTAGGAGGCCAGCACAGTTTCAGATTGGTAGCAGTTTTCATTATTGCAATAGCCACAACAACCAAGAGCCACCTGGGTCACACTATGTGATTATCATGCAAACTGCGCACTCATGAAGAGATCTCAGATGGGTAATCAATGCTTTATGTGAATCTTCAATCATTTAAAAAAGAATTTAAAACAGAATATAACATAGGTAACAGCACTGGATCCCAAGAACATTGTTCTAACTTTTCCTGAATTAACTTGAAGAGGAGAGGGCAGCTTAGGTTTGGTTCTGTGGAGCATACCCAGGTAAAGTGCAAACTCTTATTAAAGTATTGAAACATGCTGTTCCCTGAACTCGCTACTTAAATGTTACTGCCCCCCATTCAGTCAAAGAAACAGAATGTTGCCTAGCTTACTAAAAGGGAAAAAAGATGAATGCAAACAAGAGGCACAAAAATTAAAAATTATTCCCCATAGAAGAATATGAGGTTTCCTTGAGCCTTTCTTTGGCTGGATCAGTGGATTTTATTTCTCTTGCTTTTTTATGCAATTGCAATGCTCAAGTAAGCACATAAAACTCTTCCGAAACACCCAAAATAAAAGATGAGTCAATGAGGGGAAAAGCAAGACCTGCTCCAAGGATTTATGTTGTGAGCCTGCTGGGTCCCTTGGGGAAAAGATGGGATATTAAATAAATAAGCCAAACTCTCTCTTACATGACAGAGGATTGAAGGGAAAAAAGACATGCAATTAAAAGAATACATGATCCCAGGCAAACACATCCAAAGTAACAGGAATCAAAGTACAGTCAGCCCTCCACATTTGCGGCTTTGACTTTTGCAGATTTGATTATTTGTGGATTTAAATTAATGTTTTTTCTCTAAGCATTTCTTGCTCCTCCAGAGCAACTCTGCTAGAGACTGACCATAGAGTTGTGCTGGAGGACCTAGAGATTCCCAGAGAGGTGTTCTCTCAGGTTAAAAAAGCAGTGTTTTTTTTGTGTTTTTTCCACTTTCATGGGGAAAGTGCACCTAACCCCAGCAAATGTGGAGGCCCACTGTAGCATGAAATGCAGCTGAACTGATGTGAGGGACTATACATCCCATAATTCCCAACCAGCATGGTCAATGGCAGAGTGCATTCCAATGCATTTTGATGGCACGAGTGGTGTAATGTCCTGGTTCAATTTCATCTCACACCAATGGTTACCATCAAATATTTTGAAAACAATACTTTTTGTTCAGTATACTTCCATAGAAAGTCTGTTCACTTGATTCTCACATTCCACAATAACCACAACTGTGTTTGTGGTGTATTCTTATTCAACGTATTTTGCTAAATGACTCCAACGTGTGTTTCACTAGCAATCAAGGAAGATGTTCTGCAGAGATGTGCAGAGCTTTCTGACCATAAATAGGCATAATAAAAAGCAATGTCAGCACTAAATGTGGGATACCCCAACAACATTTCTGCACTAACCAGTTAGCCTAAACTGAAAGTTTATGTAGTCCAAGGTAACGTTCAACACAATTAATAGAATTTCTGTTGGGTTCTGGTTCATTATGAGTATGTAAAACTGAAAGTACAACATGTAGCAAACAGGTACTCTTACTGCATCTTAGTCAAGTTTCCAGAAATGAAATAGTATCAAGCAGTAAAAGTGGGTTAGTATACCAGAGGATGGTGCTATTAAGTGGTCTATTATCAGTGGACTAAATCCACAACTAAACTAATTCATTGTAGCACTTCTAGACCTGCTATTGATGGTAATTGTGGCCCTCCATATTACTGTATTGAAACTCCCAGCATGCCTCACCACTGGCTAGGGACAATGTGAGTTGCAGCCAAAGAACTGTAGGGTTTTCTTACTCCTAAATTAATGTACCTCCAACTACTTTTCAAACATTATTTTACCAAAAGGAATACCACAACCTGAACAACTGAAATCTTAAGCACAACTTATTTTTCTTCTGGGAGGAAACATTCTTTCACTCTTTAAAACAAAATGTCACTGATTGAACTTAACAATTGCTATGTGCAGTAAAATGCTTGAACTATGAGCATTATGCAGGTGTTATCTGTATAATCAATCCATACTTAGATTTATCCCATCATCAAAGACACACTGCTTCACCCAGCCACGCATGTGGAGAAAGAATTGCTCAGATATGAGCCATTTTGTATCCCTGTAGGTTTTGGATGCAATTCTGACCTCTGCGTTCATTTTATTTATCAAGTGATTTATAACAAAAAGTTCTCAGGGCAAGATACATAACAAAATACCACTATTTATTTACTAGGTGCAAGACACCAAGAACTGCCTAGGTCCCAGCCTAATAAGTGAGGAGCTCACTCCTTCAATAGGTGCTTCTTTAAGGTGCCTGGAGAATTTCTACAGGCTCCAGCATCCTTTGCCTTTCCTGTTGGGAAAAATGAGAGGCACCTTGAAACAGTGGTGTAGAAGGCAGCCACTTCCATATTCCTCTCGATCATTGGGAATATATAGTTCCACCCTCTAAGCCTCCTGTAAAAGACAGCAAATTTGCATACAAACACATGCCATTTAAACATAGTTATAGATCTAACTCAGTTCAAAACATTAAGGAAAATTATACTCAAATCCCGTCTACATTATATACAAATTCAGTGGACAGATGAACTGCAGTGCTGCAACTCAGAACACATTTTTCTTCTTAGTAGTAAAGTCCCTGTTCTTGGGATAAGAACAGACAACTTACTATAGTTGGCCCTCTTTGTTCATAATTCTGTATCTATGGATTCAACCATCCACAGCGTGAAAATATCTCCACCCTTCCCAAAAAATTTAAAAAAGTAAACCTTGATTTTGTCATTTTATATAAGGGACACTATTTTACTACACCATTGTATATAATAGGACTTCAGCATTCACGATTTTGGTATCCACAGGGAGTCCTGGAACCAAACCTCAGTAGATACCAAGGGCCCACTGTATTAATAATTCAGACAACTTTGAGAAGACTCAAGCTTTACATACATGATCTAAAGTTTTCTGTTTAATCAGTAAATCAGTCTATGAAGTTACTACGTTTGATCCTGCTAAAAAAAAAAAAAAAGACACACAAACCTCGTGAAAAATACATTCTCATATGTATAGGTAAACGAATATTAAAAACACATTCTCCTATGTATAGGTAAATGAAGTTAAAGATTTCACACAAATTTGTTCAAAATAAAATTTGCTGAGAATACACACCTTTTAGGTGTGCAAAACAAGATAGCAGATGCCCTGCAGCTATTAGAACTATAGTTGGACATACTTAGCCATTGTCTCCTTTTGTGTATCTGTGTGTGTGTTAGG